CAGTTAACCAAAGGATGAGGTGATATTAATATCCCATGCAGTTCTGAAGAATGGACTGGCAGACTCCACCCTCATACTCATAGGCTGTGTCTACACTGGGCCACTTATTCAAGAAAATCAGCCGCTTTTCCGGAATAAACTGTGAGCTGTCTACACTGGCCCTTGAATTTCTGGAAAAGCAACGATGCTCTACTGTACAAAATCAGCCGCTATTCCGGAAAAACTATTCTGCTCCCGCTTGGGCATAAGTCCTTATTCTGGAACACTGTTCTGGAAAAGCACCAGTGTAGACAGCCCAGTAGTCTTTTCCGGAAAAGCGCGTCTACATTGGCCCCAGACGCTTTTCCGGAAAAAGGGCTTTTCCGGAAAAGCAGCCTGCCAATGTAGACGCTCCTTTTCTGGAAAAACTGAAAACGGAATAGTATTCCCTTTCAATACCCTCCATGATTTTTCCAGGGACTGTGGTGAGGGTGACCAGTTTGTAGTTCTGTGGGTTGTTCTTCTCTTTTTTAAAGATGGGCACTACATTTGCCTTTTTCCAATCATCTGGGACCTCTCCCGATCTCCACGAATTTTCAAAGATAATGGCCAAGCGCTCTGCGGTGACATTTGCCAACTTCCTTAGTACCCTCAGATATATTAAATGAGGCCCCATGGATTTGTGTATGTCCAAATTTTCTAAATAGTTCTTACCCTGTTCTTTCTCCACTGAGGGCTGCCCACCTCCTTCCCATCCTGTGTTGCCTAGTGCAGTAGTCTGGGAGCTGACCTTGTCTGTGAAGACAGAGGCAAAAAAAACATTTAATACTTCACGTTTTTCCCACATGATCTGTCAAGAGGCAACCTTCCTCATCCAGTAAAGGTCCCACATCCTCCCTGATCACTCTCTTATTGCTAACATGCCTGTAGAAACCTCTCTTGTTACCCTTCATGTCTCTTGCTAGCTGCAATTCCAATTGCACTTTGACCTTCTTGATTGCACCCCTGCATTCTCGAGCAATATATTTATACTTCTCCCTAGTCATCTGCCCATGTTTCCACTTCTTGTAAGCTTCTTTTTTGTATTTAAGCTCACTAGGGATTTCACTACTATGCCAAACTGGGCACCTACCATATTTGCTTTTCTTACTGTGCATCGGGATGGTTTGTTCCTGTGCCTTCAATAAGGCTTCTTTAAAATGATGCCAGTTCTTCTGGACACCTTTCCCCCTCATGTTAGCATCCTAGGGGATCCTGCCCATCAGTTCCCTGAGGGAGTCAAAGTCTGCTTTTCTGAAGTCTGACGTGTGTATTTTGCTGCTCTCCTTTCTTCCTTTCATCAGGTTCCTGAAATTGACCATCTCACGATCAGTGCTTCTCAGGTTGCCACCCACATCTACTTCCCCTACTAATTCTCCCCTGTTTGTGAGTAGCAGGTCAAGCTTTGTGTGTCTTCTGATTGGTTCTTTCAGCATTTGTACCAGGAAGTTATCCCCAACATTCCCCAAAAACTTCCTGGATTATCTGTGTACTGCTGTATTGGTCTCCCAACAGATGTCAGGGTGATTAAAGTTCCCCATGAGAACCAGTGCCTGTGATCTGGAAGCTTCTCTTAGTTGTCTGAAGAAAACCTCGTCTACCTCATCCACCTGAATTGGTGGTCTCTAGCAGACCCTGACTACAACATCACCTCTGTAGCTTCTGCCTCTAAGCTTTTAACCCAAGGACTCTCAACAGGCTTTTCCCCCTCTAATACTTGAGCTCTAAGGAATCATACTGTTCTCCTACATACAGTGCAACTCCTCCACCTTCTCTTCCCCGCCTGTCCTTCCTGAACAGTTTATACCCTTCCATGACAGTGCTCCAGTCATGTTGGTTATTCCACCAAATCTCCGTTATTCCAATCAAATCATAGTTCTTTGTGCCAGAACTTCTAGTTCTTCCTGTTTTTTTCCCAGGCTCCTTGCATTCATTTACAAGCACCTTAGATAATTAGTAGATTGCCTTACCTTCTCCGTACAAATCAGAGGTCCTGTTCTGTATGCTACTGAAATACCATAATGTCAGACAACTGGATTTTTCCTTGTAAAAACTCTCTGGAACTAAAGCAAAAGGGAACAAAGGCTACTGTTATCATGAAAACCTGATTCAGTACTTTATATTATAAATGCTTTAATTGTTTTCCTTCTTTTTTGTAATTTTAATAAAAGATTCAAGGGAAATTATAATGGTGTGTTTGCCATGATACTAAACAAGCTAAAGTACAGAGAGAACTACCAAACTCTGACCCTTATCAAACATTGTTTAATGGTGGACAGCAACTGAATTATATTAACTTTTTTTTACTTTGAGGGCTTATATATTCCATCTAACAGTGCCAACTGTGGGTTGTGCCCATGAAAGCTAATGTATGATAGCATCTACATGTTTTGTTAGTTTTTAAAGTGCTGCAAGACTATTTGTTGTGTTTTAAGTTTTTCCAGTTACAGACTAACTCAGCTACCCCTCTGAAGCTTTTGAAATAAAAAGATTTTTGCTTTTGTAAGGGCTTCCCTTGTAGCAGATGTGGTGTAAGGGGGAAAGTTCATCTGTGTAGAATGGGAAGAAGCATGAAACAGCTGCATGGTTTGGAAGGAGGGAGTGCCAGGGAGGCATGTAACTGCCCCAGCAGTTAACCAAAGGATGAGGTGATATTAATATCCCATGCAGTTCTGAAGAATGGACTGGCAGACTCCACCCTCATACTCATAGGCTGTGTCTACACTGGGCCACTTATTCAAGAAAATCAGCCGCTTTTCCGGAATAAACTGTGAGCTGTCTACACTGGCCCTTGAATTTCTGGAAAAGCAACGATGCTCTACTGTACAAAATCAGCCGCTATTCCGGAAAAACTATTCTGCTCCCGCTTGGGCATAAGTCCTTATTCTGGAACACTGTTCTGGAAAAGCACCAGTGTAGACAGCCCAGTAGTCTTTTCCGGAAAAGCGCGTCTACATTGGCCCCAGACGCTTTTCCGGAAAAAGGGCTTTTCCGGAAAAGCAGCCTGCCAATGTAGACGCTCCTTTTCCGGAGAAACTGAAAACGGAATAGTATTCCGTTTTAAGCATTTCCGGAAATTCATGCCAGTGTAGACACAGCCTATAGAATCTGAAAAAGCCCCAGATTCTTTCATGATCCACTGTGGTCATGACACTAGTTTCCATATTTCCCTATGGGACTGGGAAGGAATGTTTCCCTCGACATCAGATTGGCTGAGATGGGCTATGTTTTTTTTTACCTCCTTCCCCCCCCCCCCCCCCCCCTGCTTGTGGCAGATAGTTTGGGTTATTTTGTTGGAGCTTAGTTTGTTAAAACTTATGTCAGATGGCCAGTGCAGGTATTCATTATGAAAGGGATATTATTATTGGATAAAATGAATTGGAAATGAATGTAAAGAAAAGCATTCCTTATGGGTGCTGAGGAAGGCCAGTTTGGAGTTCCTATATCTAGCCCCTTTTATCTTTTGGGGAGTGGGACATGGTTGGGTCCAAGTACCAGGGTGGCTTGGATCATATTGGGGATTATGGTAAGAAAAAGCATGATTACCCATATTTAATGCTGGGTACCACCAGATATTTTAAATAAATAAAACTGTGGACTATTTAAACCATGACCACTGCCTCCTTTCTTCTGGTGTGGCCGGAAAATGAGTTTATTTATTTCTTCCAGTTAGATTGCATGTATGGAGTCAGGAAGAAAAGAAAAAGAAAAATGGAGAAAGGAGGAGGACTTGGGATAAGATAAGAACAGAGAGATGAAAGGAAATTGTAGGGCATTAAAATAGGAGATTTGTATAAAGCAAATCCTAATGTGCTGAAATATGAAATATGTTTGGTGTAAAAGATTTAACTAATGGTAGGTGCTAATTTTAGGTTCCAAAGCTATTGCTAATAAACTTTAAAAGATTTTCCTGAGCAGATTTTCTTAGTTTGTATACATTTCATTTAGTGTATCAGCTATTGCAGTTGCCCCAGGTAACAGCAGTTGGTCACTGACCATTGAGCCGTGATATGCTTAGGTCTTGTCTTGCAGGTGGCAGATTGCTTATTGCAAGGCAAGCCATGCTGCAATACGCCTATGGTGGTGGAAATGCTTTGGTGGGGACAACTATGTTATACAAAGCCAATGTTATTGTTCAGCAACAGTAACTGCGAACAATACAGCCCTTAACATTATGCTTTGCAGACACTTTAAAATGAAAGATCTCACTCTTTACTTTCTGGATTTACTTTCCTTTAAACCCTGTAAGTAAAATAAAATGTTTAAATGTACTTTATAAATACAGAGAGGGGGCAAATGTAAATATCTTCGGGTATGTCTACACTACCCTCCTAGTTCGAACTAGGAGGGTAATGTAGGCATACCGCACTTGCAAATGAAGCCCGGGATTTGAATTTCCCGGGCTTCATTTGCATAAGCGGGGAGCCACCATTTTTAAATCCCTGCTCGTTCGAACCCCGTGCCGCGTGGCTACATGCGGCACGGGGTTCGAACGAGCAGGGATTTAAAAATGGCGGCGCCCAGTTTATGCAAATGAAACCCGGGAAATTGAAATCCCGGGCTTCATTTGCAAGTGCGGTATGCCTGCCGTGTGTAGCCGCGCGGCACGGGGTTCGAACAAGCCGGCATTTAAAAATGGCGCCAGCCGGCTTATGCAAATGAAGCCCGGGAAATTCAAATCCCGGGCTTCATTTGCAAGTGCGGTATGCCTACATTACCCCGCTAGTTCGAACTAGCGGGGTAGTGTAGACATATCCTTCCTGTGTAATTCAGAGTGCCAAAATTAGAGAACAAAACTTGCTTTTAGACAAATGTCTTACTCCAGCTATTTGTAATGCACTGAAACTTTGCACTCTCATCCTTAATAATTACTATATACATATACTATTAAAAACATAATACAGTTGATCATTTGGTTTTCATAGAAATGTTGCAATTGTATTAACATCTAAGACACATTATTCTCACATCTTTATCTTTAGGCCCATAACAGAAACCTGTTATCCATTGATTTTGACCACGTAACCAGAACAGGAAAGATCTATGATGACCATCGAAAATTCACCCTCCGGATTCTGTATGACCAGACAGGACGTCCAATTCAGTGGTCACCCATCAGCAAATATAATGAAGTCAACATCACTTACTCACATTCAGGATTAGTGACCTACATTCAGAGAGGAACGTGGACTGAAAAAATGGAGTATGACCCAAGTGGGAAGATAATTTCCAGAACATGGGCAGATGGTAAAATATGGAGCTACACATATTTGGAAAAGGTAAATCAATTTAAAAATGGAGTATTATATTCAATATAAAGACTAAATTACAAATATAGTCACTGTCATACTAAGTCTTTAACAAAAGTAACTAAGAACTCCTTTTAACTGTAAATGGAAACAATTATATGTTTAGATAAAATGTCTTTGTTCTGTCATCACTTAGAACATTGTAGTTAGGCAAGTATTAAAACTAAATATGTTTTCCTTTTATTTCATTTTGACCAGTTTATTCACTTTTTTGAAAGAGACTTTCCCAAAGGGATAATTTATGCACACAATAAAATTGAATGGTAACATATTTATACTAGAATAAGTGGCATGTGGAATTAAACTATAGTTTTGATTTTTGGTTCAGTTCAGTTAGGCTATGTCTACTCTGCAAGTATATTTCGGGGTACTTGCATCTTTTGATTTGGCAGAATGACAACATTAACCAGGGAGACAGTTCTATATTCGGAAAGAGAGGACAATCAGCATGAAGAAGGAGTAGCCATCATTTTGAGAAAAGGAATTGAAAAGTGTCTGATAGAATGGAAACCTGTCAACAGCAGATTGATGAAAGTGAGAATGAAGGGGAAGTATGTAAATATGACCATCATCCAATGCTATAGCCCAACCAACAACAGCGATGATGAAGTGAAAGATCTCTTTTATGAGCAGCTAGAGGTAGAAGTCAAGTCATCACCTCGACATGACGTGATGATTATCATGGGTGATTTAAATGCAAAAGTTGGGAGTGACAACACCAACAACAAGCGTGCAATGGGAATACATGGATGCGGGATAAAGAATGAGAATGGAGAAAGGCTGGTTGAGTTCTGTGACACCAACAACTTGGTTGTTGGAGGTACTTTGTTCCCACACCGTGACATCCATAAATTGACATGGTATTCGCCCAATGATAGAGACAAAAACCAGATAGATCATCTGCTCATTAATGGAATGTGGAGGAGATCATTGCTGGATGTGAGAGTGAAACGTGGGGCTGATGCTGGAAGTGACCATCAATTGGTAATTGCAATGGTGAGACTTAAACTCTGGAAGGCACAGACCAAATCCCATATACAACCAAGATTTGATATCCAAAAATTACAGGACCCACGCATAAAATACAGCTTTGTCACACAAGTAAAAAATAGATTTCAAGTGCTGCAGGATTTAGTTACAGAAAGTAATGTTGGTAACATCAATACAGTCTATAATAATATAAAGACTGCATACCATCAGAGTGCTGAAGAATGCTTGGGCTATAAGGAGAAGAGAAAATCTAAGCAATGGATCCAACCAGACACTTGGAAAGTTATAGAGGAGAGACGTAAATTGAAG